CCGGGCCACAAGCCCGCGGGCTGCATGGCCACCTATAGTTCTGAGCCTAGCGTGTCTTGAATGAACCAATCGCTGTCTTCTAGCAATTTAATTTTAAATTGTCGCGAGGGCAAGTGTCGCTGTTCGGAGAATGGTCTCACTGCGTTGCGTTCTCAAGGAAACCTGTTTGAATATAGTATAATCACTACAGCGTAGTAGTATAATCACAACATGGAATCTGATTGCATCATTGGAATTATGGAAACTTAGCACCTACTACAGCGTTGTTTCCTCAGCTAGAATACGGGGTGTTTGATTCTTTAGTCGCTCCTAAAATTTATGTCACATCGAATATTTAAATGCTAATAAGGAACATTAAATATAAATTAATTACAAAACCAATTACATAGATGGAGACTAATTTCCAAGACGAAATTTTTAAACCTAATTAATCTATCATTAGCACATGCTTACTGTAGCACCATGTTGTCAAATCATGAACTAATTAGGCTTAAAAAATTCGTCTCATAAATTAATTACAAGTTATACAATTAGTTTTATAATTAGTCTATATTTAATACTCCATACATGTGTTCAAACATTCAATGTGACAGGAAATTTTAGGAGGAGGTGCAGTAACCAAATAGGCCGATACTGTTTTTTGATAAGCTCAAGTGTCGGCAAAAGAAACTGCGTGTGGTCTGTGGATGGGAATCATTGGGTAGAAGAAATGTGATAAGCCGATTTTACTTTCTTTTCTAAGAGGGCAATGTGCTTGTCGAGCATGGACACCACTGCCTCAAACTCAGTCACCTGTTGATCTATCGCATCGATCTGCGACACGTAATCGTCGAAGCCTCGGTTTTTCTCGTTCAGATGATCTACAAAGACTCGCAGACCGGCGGCAATGTCACCATAGTTGCTGTATTCCTGTGCTACACGGTCATTCATCTTCTCAAGCAGAGCCAGCTGATTGTTAGTCCCCTGAAAGCAATGACAGCAATGACAGACACTCAAGTCCTGGTGAATAAATTAAATTTAATTGAAAGTTGCTTGTTACCGCACATGTCATCTTACAACATAACCAATACTCTCTGTATTCCGAATTATAGTTCGCAGTAGCTTTGTCCTAAGCAACGCATCTCTAACTTTCACTAGTTTTTTAGAAAATATATTGACATCTACAAGTTCAAATTAATGCACTATCAAGACATATTTCATGGAGAATTTTATAATAAAACTAAAGTTTGACTTAGGACAAAGCTCAAGTGAACTATAATTTGGTAAGGAAGGAGTACATGCTACTTATATAAGGAACATTAATAAGGGTTCAACTTTCATACCACATAGGAAAACAAACTGTTTCAAGGGCCAGAATTTTTTTTGGGTGGGGGGATGTTACTATGTGAGTTCTATTAAATTTTAACGACTATATTCTTTTTTTAAGTTATTTTTACCCTAATCAGTCAGAGTGTTCTTTTATCACAAGCCTAAATTGTTTATTGCTCAAAAGGACAGAGTGACAGTTTATTGACAAATTGGAAATTTTACTCGGTAGCTACAAAAGGAAGTGTCATATATACAGACCAGCACTCTTGCCAATAGCAGAACACACCATGACAACAAGTTAGCCTGCATTCCAATAATACTGTACATTCACTTTTGATCTAGCATAGTAGCATGTCCATGAAAAGAAAATTAATGTTTAGTGAATGGTGACAATCTAGTGTAGCCGCTGAGCTACTCACACAGTTATTAGCCGTTCCTTGCCATGTCAAGGGAAATGATTAGCCTCCTGTTGTGTAAAGTATAGTACTAAGGGGGTGTTTGGTTCCATCTGTCACATCGGACGTTCGGATGCTAATTAGGAGGACTAAACATGAGTTAATTATAAAACTAATTACACAGATGGAGACTAATTTACATGATGAATCTATTAAGCCTAATTAATCCATCATTAGCACATATTACTGTAGCACCACGTTGTCAAATCATGGGCTAATTAGGCTTAATAGATTCATCTTGCAAATTAGTCTCAATCTATGCAGTTAGTTTTGTAATTAGTCTATATTTAACTCCAAATTAGTGTCAAACATCCGATGTGACAGGGACTAAAATTTACTCCGTGGAACCAAACACCCCCTAAAGTTGTGACTAGTGAGCTAGGTCAATGTAAGGATCTTGCAATTTCAGCCTATAAAAGTCGGGTGTGGACCACATGTCCTAGTTTCCCCAAATCCCAAATCCATACTCCTCACCACCCGAACTGGTATCCTTTTCAGGTCAGTTTCCAGCAAAAAATGGGGGTTGGGATAATTGAGCCGTTCTTCTTCTTTTCTGTAAATATAAATCAATACTAGAAACTACTCAGTAATCATTGGTCACAACTCACAACTAGCTGCTACAACTATGGGTCCGAAGAAATTCATTCACCAGGAATTCATTTAGATACAGCAGCACTGCAAATAGCATAGCATCTTTAACAACTAAACTGTAGATGCTTCCATTTGCAACACATGTTTGAGAGGTTTGGAGAAGCAGAGCTACCACTACCACCCCATCATTTGAACCCAAGCGCTAGCACACATAGGAGCACAGCAAAGGACAAGGGAGCACAGCAAATGGAAAAAGAAAAACCTGAACGCATCGAATTCAGCAAACATCAAGCTAGAGAATACACGCAACAATCTTCCCAACTAAAACGAATTTGAAGCTGCTGGCCGCCAGTAAAGCAGGACAGTGGGGAAGTCATTCAAACTAGGGTAGGGTTACGGCGTGATTGCCGCCTTGCCATACCAAATCATCACCAAGCATTAGCAGTTGACTAATGCGCACTTAAAATTACTCCTCTCGTAGAATCGATAACCGGAAATGGACCATAATCATCCAGCTTGCCTAATTCCAGGAAAGTGAGGACGCGGCTCTAATTGCGCGACCTCCGAAGGCTTAGATTAGAGTCGAGAGAGGAAACCTGGAGCTCGCCGCGGACCATGAGGGAGACGTTGGTGAAGACCTCATCCAGCGACTCCGACAGCTCATCCCGCCGCCCCGCCGCCTCCCCCTCCGTCGGGTTCGCACTCGCCATCGCCGGCGCTGGGTTTCCTCCGAACAGCCGAGTCGCTGATTTCTCCGTGCTGCCGTCTTGGATCGCAACGACGCCTACCTTTTTTGGTCTGATGATGCCGTGGCAAGGACCAGCCCACAATATTAGGCCCACTACGTGGTTGGTGGTGATGGGCCGATGGCGTGTGGTTCTCTGGGTTCCTCAGCCTCTGCGGTTTAACGGCGCGGCTAACGAGGGCCGAGTAGACGGCATCTTCTGGCGGCCGGCTGCTAGAAGCTCGCCAAGGAGCCCAGGACGCAGGAGCCAGCCCGGGAGCCCCTACAGCCGCAACCGGGAGGCCGGCGGTCGCGGTCGAGAGGCTTCTGGCCCAACAACTCGTGTTCGAACTAAATTTACCCAATCGAAAAACAAAAGTAGTTTTGGGTACATAATTTTGGTCAGGATAATCATATATCCAAAAAAAAATGATTTTCTTCTGGACTCTGTTGTTTCTCTGCTGTATCTTGCTCCCTCCATCCCAAAATAAATCAACTTTCAGAAATCTCCTAAATAATACTTAAATTTAATCAAATTTATAGAAAATAACACCAATATTTATATTTTTATAATATACTTATTTGGTATCAAAGATGATATTACACTTCCATAAAGTTGGTCAAACTCAAAACATAGAGTTAAGGTAACTCCAGGAGTTGATTTATTCTGAGATAGGAGTAAAAGACTTTTTTAAAAAAATAAACATGAGACACACGGTGTTCTTCAGCGAATGAACAGTGTTTTTCTCTCATAACAAATCAGCATAAGCCAAATTTCAGCGAAACGAGCAGGGCAAAAAAAAAAAATGGAACTAAAGTGCGCGGACAGCCCCATCTCTTTCCGTGTGCTGTTTAACTCTGAGCTCAAATTTACTGCTGCAGCGGTATTGTAGCATGGATCCCCTGTTTGACAGCTCTAACCCATAATGTTTCCATTTTTCACTTAATATAAATTCTTAAATCAATTTAGGCCGTGTTTAGATGCACTCTTATTTATATCAATATATGTGCGTTGAAGTGGATTGGCATGAAGTTAGTTAACTTTGTGCTCCAATCCATCTCAATAGATTGAGATAGGTACAAGTGTATCCAAACAAGATCATGAGCCTGTTCGTTTGGTCGTAAATGATCGTGGATTATAAGCCAGAACAATATTTTTCTCTCACACCAAACCAGCCAGCAGTAATAATCCACAATCGTTTCAGCCGAAACGAACATGCTGCATATTCTTGCCCGCAACGCAAATTCCATGCTTTGCAAGAATCTGTCAAACAAACGCAACTTTGATTAGCTAAATGATCCCTCCAGGCAGATATAGAAGTATCCATGTCAAAGTCAGAACCTAAGACATTCTTGCTTCAAAGCTACTAAGATGCAGGATTCCACGTTTATGATAGTCTAACCATCCAGTTTATGTCTCCAAATTGACGTCGGTTTCAGTTTTATATATTGGGAGTACCTGTTTCAGTTTGCAACTGCATCAGTGCATATAAGCTAGCGGATATTGTTATAAAACACATCGCCAGCTGACATTTACCTCCTCATCTTCTAAGATCAACACAACAGATGCAAATAGAAAAACAAGACAAAAAGTAGGGAATCTACCCTTTATCATCTATATATTATATTGTATATATACAGCATTTTCAGTCATGCATTAAAGATGACTGGATGAACAATCACGGAAGACAAAAAAATTGATCCACGGGTGATCATAGCACAAGTGGTCCACCCAGATGTGGAGGCGGTTTATGTTCAGGAAACTAGACAAATATTCGCAGCAAACCAAAGTTTCTTTCAAGTGACCAAACAAAAATTATTGACCACCATGAAATCTAGTGGCACACTGCTCAGTAGTAGCTTAAAGCTCAACAATCACTCTAGAACTGCACAAAGAACTTCTTTCCCCTGAGGTATGGACTCTAGGCCTCCTGCTTCCTGTAGAAGATGTTGAGCGCATCGCTGTACAGGGCCACAGAATTGGACACCACAGCAAGCACAATCATTGTTACTGCCAAAACCTTGTCACGCTTGGTTGAAACACCATATGGATCCCTATAGAAATAAAATGCATCAGCAATAATACTGTCAGGTTCAAAATGGCATAAGTCAAATATACCTACAAAGCAGGATACATAGTTATCACTCTATGAGGATAGCAAGTTACCTGAGTATAATCATGGCAGGAAAGATGAAACCGATAAGCACAGCAGCTGTGGCGCCAGTGAATTGGAATGCATCCCAGATGCTCGGTATGAAGATGGCAGCAAGATAAATTACAGCAATGAGTGAGATGGTGATAATGGTGAACCTCCTGTTGTCACGGGAAATGTGCCTTGCGGTGGGGAAGAGTAATCCATCCAAGTTGAGCCTAAGGGCAAAGAAGACTATAGGAAAGACAAGCATGATATGGACAACATAGCTCACTCTCACTATGTCATTGAAGACAGAGCTGAATGGAATGCGAAGATCAGAGTCAAAGTTGGCAAGCACATCAGCCAGGGTAGCCTCGCCAAAGAGGAGATATGCGAAGAAGCTTGTTGCAACATAAACACTTGAGCAGAGTCCCAGTGAGGTCTGTACAATTGGTTTAATTTGAGTCTTGTCCTCCAGCTCATTATCAATGCTGTGAACTGTATAAGCACAAAAAACATACATTTAGTAATACAGAAAAGAATGACAAAGAGCAATCCAAATGGACAGTACGAGACACACCATTGTAGTGGCAGATGTAGGCAGTGACAAGAACAGGCACAGCTGTGAACAGTTTCCAGATGGAACTAACTCCATCTATCTCAGGAAAGAGTTTGGGGATCTCCACAGTTCCTTGGATGAGTCTGACAATAGCAACCCCAGCAGTGATGACAACAAAAACCACAGCAAGAGCAACTGATAGTGCAGATGTGTATCTCAATGAATCTGTGACCAAAGTAACAGTAAGTAAAGGGACCCTTCTTTCCTTTATCCAAAAAAAAAAGTAAAGGGGGCCCAAAAGTAAAAATGGCATATTTTTGTCAATGGACAACATGCTTACCCAAACGCTTAAAGCTCACCAATGGAGCAAACACAAGAAGAGTTGTAGCGAGAAGTACAATGGGACGAGAATTCCACATATGAGGTCCAAACCACCCCTCAAATACACCACTGTGATGAACACCTGTTGATGATGTTCCTGATAGGACATCACCTAGATAAATTTTTTTTGAACAAACAGTATCAGTAATAATCCACATGGTCTGATCAAGGGGATAATAAGTAATTCCTAAAGGAGCAATTCCCACTTCATACACTTTAGAATGGTATAAGCAAAGGAAAACCAATTCAACAGAGAAAAAATAACTTAAAAATCATGGCAAATGAAGATGAAGAATAGATTGTTATATCTGTTCATTTCAAAAGCAGGGGATCAACCTAATAAACATAGTTATCGTCATAAGCTTTATCACCAATTAAGGATGCTCCTGTTAGGAATCGTTCAACATGCATAGCTGAGGAACTCCTGAGCTTTCAAGTAATTCTAGATTACAAACGTTTGAGTAGCAACTAAAAAGTTGTAGTACTACCTCAACATATACTCCCAAGCACCAGTATTTAATATTCGAGAGCACACTAAAGTAGGCATAAATGATGAAGTTTATTTAGATGCATACCAATAATAATCATGTATACAATCAACACGCCGACATTGTTTATCACCACGGATGCCTGTAGTGCAATTCTCCCCCATTGACCAAAGGTGTCACCCATCAACCACCCGTAGGATGTAATCTTGCCCTGGTGGCTGCACCTGACCAGCATGTCAATGGATGCCTCGGCGAGCAACGCCACAAGGATGATCATTAGAATACCGGGGATAAGACCTAGCATCTTGATACTCGCAGGCAGAGCCATGATTCCGGCCCCTACAATGGTCGTCGACAGATTGAAGACAGCACCAGAGAAAGAAGCTCCGTCGAACTCATGAACTGCGTCCTCCTCAGCTTTGATCGGGAGAAGCGGCGTGGTCTCATCTTGCATCGCTTTGTGCGACACATTGCTTGATGATCCGTTCCCAATACCCATTTGTTTCACTCACCTGTATGTGAGAAACCTGAATTAGCGCATTGGAACCTTCCTTTGCTAGTCATCTTCAACCATTATTCCTTGACTAGTCCTAAATTAGATGATCAACTCCGATGTGATGTACCTATGGATTAGGGAACTAGTAGTAACAACCACACAGGAAGTTCCAGTGATTTTCACATCACTATGGAGTGCTAATTTGAGCTTAGAAATCCATGCACACCAAAATTCACATAAGTAAGGTATGCTAAAATCCAGCTTCTTTAATTCATAGAGACACTTACTAATAAGATACTCAACACATCATCTACAAAAAATCTTGTTATCCCCCTTAATCCAAACAGGTTCACTAAATTTCTCTTCCGCAAAACGGAAAATGCTGGGATTGGCTCTTAGATAACCCAAATGCCAGGCAAAGAATTCTAACAGTAGCACGGTTTCACATCAATCGCTCTAAAAGATACACACGAGAGGAAGGAAAGAACATACCTTTCAAGAACCCCAAATATTTCCTCAACACAAGATCAAAACCCTGAACAAATCCAGCAGCGCAAACTAAACTAAACCAAAGAGAGGACAACTTGTGGTTGCAAAGAGACGGAGCTCCCTCCTCCTCACCTCCGGTCTTCTTATAGGCGAACGCCGGACCAGGTCGGTGAGTGATATCAGAGTATTACTCTCTCCGCCTACCCTACCAAGAACCGTCCAAGGGCGACCTTGCCGCCCCGGTTCGCCGCGGCCCCGTCCCTTTCCGAGGAAAAGGCCCAACTTTCCAGCTCAGGTTGCGTCCCAATCCTGGCTTCCTTCCTTCCTTCCCTTCCGCAGGATCAATGCCGCCGCCGCGGTGCCGGTTGACGCGGCCGGTCTTTACTTGCCCTTTTCTTTTTAATTTCCTTTTACTTGCCGGATTGGATTGGATTGCTGCTGGCCGGTTGCGTGCTACGCTGCCTTTCTTGGACGGAAATAAAATGCCTGGCTGGCCGGACTGGCCTGGCCTTATCCACGGCGGGCGGCGGGCGGCGGGCGACCTGTGGCCTAGATAACGACGAGAGCGGTGTGTGTGGTGTGGCTGACCGAATTTTTTATTTTTCAGTTTTTTTTTAAAAAATATTCACCAATAGATTCTGGTGGGTTTATTTTCGTTTATGGATCCTCACCTCGGCGTCATGGTTTTTGGTGCCGAGAAAACACGTCTCGGCGTCATGGACAATGGCGCCGAGATCTTGGCAAGGCGTCGGACGTGGCAGTGATCTGGCGTCGACGTGGACAAGGCCTCGGCGCCGTAGATCTTGGCGTCGAGTTCGGCGTCGTAGATTTTGGCATCGAGCTGTTACCCTATATATCTTGACGTTTGAAATGAAACAAATATAATTGTTTCGAGAAATATGTAACAATATCATTGCGATTCAGCTGATTAGGATAAAGGTGACTTAGTCCAGGGGCTTGGCTTGGAACCAGCGCTAATTTTTTTTCTACATTGTTAATTAGGATTAGCGTACGCTATTCATGAACTGATGGACTAATCTTGAGCTGGTCGAATTCATCTGCTCATTAGTCAGTGCTGACGTACCCATCCCACAGGTACAATGGCGTCGTCGGCTACATTTTTATAAGTAATAGGAAAAAAAATTGTTTCATTTCAAACGTCAAGATCAAAAGTCCATTGAAAGCACCTTATATTATGCTATGTTTTTTTCTTGGTGTAAAAAGTGGGTTGCTTAAACTACTACAAAGGAGGCTGCAGTTATCCCTTTTTGACAATTGTATCAGCATCAGTATTCCTCACAATTCCTTTCTTAAACTTTAGTTGAATCTCCATCATCAATTTTTCTTAAGCTGAGGTTGTAGAATTTTTTTACTTTCATGGGCAATTTTTCTCAAATAGCATATTTTCTTTTTCTTTTTTAGAGGAGCAATTTTCTCATTCTGACGTAAAGAAAAAGAAATTTCTAAATATCATCTAGAAATATCTATTTTTTTTACTCATACAATTGAATATCTATTTTGTTTTCACTCATACTTTGGATAGCTAGGGCACTTTGTAGATTCTTGTAGCAAACTATGTTATTGTTTGTTCTAATCACTGCTACGAACATGATTTTAGGAGGCAACATGTTTTATTTTTAGAGACATACATTTTTTTCCATACCATCTCTGTAAAATGATCTAGTGCTCAATAAAGTCTCTCCACCTCTAAAAATATATTTTCAGAGATGGTCTTCTTAAAAATATACCCGTGCATCCAAACCAACTAATAATTTTTCTTATTCTATTGCTTATAAAAATGTAGCAAAAAAGATTCAGCGCTGGGGTTCAAACCTAAGCCCTTGGGCTAAGTCGCGCGCGTCCTAACCAGTTGAACCACAATGACGTTGTTGCATGTTCCTCGGAATAATTATACTTGTTTCATTTCAAACGTCAAGATCTATAGGGTAATAGCTCGGCGCCAAGATCTATGGCGTCGAGGCCTTGTCCACGTCGATGCCAGGTCACCGCCACGTCCGACGCCTCGCCAAGACCTTGGCACCATTGTCCATGGCGCCGAGACGTGTTTTCTCGGCCCCAAAAGCCATGGCGCCGTGGTCAGGGTCCATAAACGAAAATAAAACCACCAGGGGTCTATTTGTGAATATTTTTCAAAAAAGGACTGAAAAATAAAAAATTCGGTGTGGCTGAGAGCGATGGCGGCGATGTAGATCAGTAGAGTTTCGTCTCATCGAGGCGTCATCATGATCGGAGGCTTCGTTAAAAACAAGTTGAGCTGCTCGAAAGCTGTATCTGCCTCCTCCGACCAGAAGAAGCATTCAGAGGCCTTGAGGAGTTTGAAGAACGGTAGTCTCTTTTTGTCGAGGCGCGATATAAAGCGGCTGAGAGCAGCCATGCAGCCTGTAAGCTTCTGTATGTTCTTTACGCAGGTTGGCCATTTCATGTTGGTGATGGCGGATACCTCGTCGGGGTTGGACTCGATGCCACGGGCGCTGACGATGTGGCCTAGGAGTATGACGGATGGAACTCCAAAGATGCACTTTGAAGGGTTCAACTTTCATCTGTATCATTTTAGGTTGGCGAATATTTCTTCGAGGTCGGCGATGAGATTGTCGGCGGTCTTGGACTTGACGACCACATCGTCGATGTAAGCTTCGATGTTGTGGCCTATCTGTTGATCGAGGCACATCTAGATGGCCCTTTGGTAGGTCGCCTTGGCGTTTTTGAGTTTGAAGGACATGGTGGTATAGCAATACGCACCAAAAGACGTGATGAACGATGTTTTGGTCTGGTCGTCCTCTTTCAGGAATATCTGGTGATAGCCGGAGTAACAGTCAAGGAAGGAGAGCAGTTCGTAGCCAGCGGTGAAGTCTACAACCTCGTCTATCCGAGGCAGACCGAAGGGATCTTTAGGGCAGTGTTTGTTGAGATCGATGTAATCAACGCACATTCTCCATTCTTTATTCTTTTTTTGAACAAGAACAGGGTTTGCTAACCACTTAGGATGATACACTTCTTTAATAAATACGTCAGCTAGGAGCCATTTTAGTTCTACCCTAATAGCCTCCTTCTTGTCTGGTGCGAATCATCAGAGTTTCTGCTTCATCGATTTGGCGGTCGGCGAGACATTCAAGGAGTGCTCGATCTTCTCCCGCGGTACCCCTGGCATGTCTGCAGGTTTCCAGGCAAACACGTCGGCATTGGCATGTAGAAAGGAGATGAGCGCGCTTTCCTATTTGGGGTCGAGGTGAGCCCCAATCTTGATGGTCTTTGAGGGGTCGTCGAGGCCGAGGCCGACCTCCTTTGTTTCCTTAGACTTGGCGGAGGCACGTGGAGGCTCCAGCGCTGGGATCTCTAGGTCATCGACGGGCATCGTCTTGGCATCGATGACCATGCTAGCCATCTGGATGGAGAGGTCAGTGGCTTCGGTGAGGGCGAGACTCTTTATCTCGCAGGCGTAGGCGATGGAGAGGTTGGCCCATAGGGCTAGGACTCCTACAGGCAAAGGCATCTTCAGCACCAGATAGGCATAGTGCGGTATGGCCATGAACTTGGCCAGAGCTGGCCGACCAAGTATGGCGTGATAGGCGGTGTTGAAGTCGGCGATGTAGAAGTTGATGTGCTCGACGCGGTAGTTGCTAGCCGTGGCGAACTGTATTGGGAGGGTGATCTCTTTAAGCGATTTGGATGCCCTCCAGGTACCACACCCCAGAAGGAGGAGTTAGATGGTGTGAGGTCTCCAATCCCAAGGCCTAGCTCCTTTAGGGCTCCAACAAAGAGGAGGTTCAGGGCGCTTCCGTCGTCGACAAATACTTTCCTGAAAAGCACTTTCCTGATGGTTGCATCAAGAACGAGGGGGAAACGCCCCGTGTAAGGGATGTCCTACCACTGGTCGGCCCTGTTGAAGGTGATTGGGACCTCAGACCAGGGGTGATAGCTAGGGTTGGCGATGGCGTCTTTTGCGTTGATGGTGAGCACCCGGTGGGCGGTGAGCTTCTGATCTCTTCTGCTCTCGGTGGCGGCGAGGCCCTCGAAGATGGTGGCAACCACTTTGTCATGATCCTAGAAGGCGTTGTTGTTGTTCCTAGGTGGTCGATGGCCTCTGGCTCCATCGTTGTTGTCGTCGTCCGACTTTTTAGCCTAGAACTCCTTAGCCAAGCTGAGGCAGTCCTTCATCTTGTGCTTGCTGTTCTTGTGGAGAGGGCATGGGCCTTCGAGGATCTTCTTGTACTGCTCATCATAGTTGCACTTGGCGCGAGGTTCATCAATGGTGGCGATGATGTGGTCTGGTCGGTGGCGGCGATATTGACCATATTTGGACCCTTCTGGTCGATCATGGCCACTGTCCCGATGGTGACTGCGGTCATCGTAGCAGTGGTCGCTGTGGCGTCGATCGTTGGGTTGCTCGTCGCTGCGGTGAGTTGGGCGATGAGTGCCCGCATCCTCATTGAAATGTACTTCAGCCTCTTTGGCATCGGCATACTGATCGGCGGTCATAATCATCTTGCCAATCC